AGGTTCCCCGGTAGCCCGCGGAGAGCCTGGTACAGGGTCCTGGGAGGTCATGTAGAACAGTGCGGTGTGACAGCCAATCAGGGGCCACCGCACTGGACACATAAAAACAAAGGGAGGACGAGAAGGGGTGAACCCGGGCCTCGTGAGAGTGAAAAGTGGACTGGGCTTATACGGGTTGGATTCTGTAGAGGCATAATTCATGTATTCTGTCCAGTGTCAGATGTCGGGGTCCGTTGATAATGACAAGACAAAAGTAGAAAATCCTCTTCATTAATCTGTGAAAAAGATAATAATATACAGTATATAGCGCTGTAGTTGAAGGTGGATGTAAATTTGACTAAAAAAGGAACCTTGCCAAAAGTTCTCAAAACCATTACAGTTATGGTTCATCTACATTTACTCTTTACAAAGCGATAAATCAACTCAAGCACCATCATGTTGCCATTAATTGAAATGTCAAATTCATGTTTTTTTTTCCTGCTGGTCATCCTACTGGTTGCAACATCGACTGTATTAGAGGAAAATGCTAACCCCCAAGCTCAATGAAACTCAATAGGGAAGTGCTCATGGACAAAGTTTCTCTCCAACACGCTCTGACTCCTATTGGCTTACATTTAAAAGTAAACTCCTGGTGTTTATATTTTGATGTTGTCTTATAAGGATTGACCAATCAGGGGGAAATTCCAGCTCGTCTTAGCCACAGTTATTTGCAACATGTCTATGTTATGGCGCAAAGCTAACACAAATGCCCATATAAGAAAATCGGCTCCAGTTAGCTTATGTTCAAATTGGCCTCTTTCACGTTGTTGTATTTTGGAGAAATGGAAACATATATAAATGAACATCCCATACTCATCAATAAGAAAGATTATCTATCATTTATGTGTTCATCCATATTGAGCCAGGTGTGTTGCTGTATCGGCGACTGTCACCAAAAACAATCTTTCCACTGGGCCCATGCTATTTATCTCTTGTATGTAAAGCCAAACACAACAATCATATATATATATATATATATATATATATATATACATATATATACATGTTTTCCTAAAGCGAGGGGTAATAGATTTTTAATGTTCATTTGTCTGTGCCCGCGAGCCAGGGATCTTTGACACTCAAAATAATTGTTGTCGGGAGAAGCGTCACCAGGGGAGGCCTGTGAATGGGGCAGCGGGACGATTTGTGTAAATGACTGTGTGTGTGCGCGTGAGTGTGTGTGCGTCTGTGTGTGTGTGCATGTGCGGCTGTGTGTGTGTATGTGTGGCTGTTTATTTGTGACGCCCCCGCCCCTCTGGCTGTGCCGCAGGGCTGCTATTAGCCTCTTTGGCCATAAACGTTGAGAGGAGAAAAGCCCAATGATCGCACCAAAGTTAGCCCTTAATGTGACAAGTTATCAGACAAAAGCCCCCCGCTGAGAGTGGGAAAACGTGCCTTAGGGAGAGGGGAGTGTTGGTGTGAAGGAGGGGGGTATCCTGAATGGCCTGATATTATGATAGAAGGAGTCGACTGTATTGTAATCACTATTATGTGTCAAAGATCAGCAGTGTGCTATTGAGCCTTAAGTGCCAGTCCATATGTGTTAGCATACTGCACGAAGCTGTGTGTCGTCAGGCGATTTGGCAGCAATCCTCATTTGGAGGCATAATATTCCATATTATTAAGTGCCCAGTTTAATAAAGTGACAATTTTTAAAGTTCAAGTGTTGTTTCACAATTTGAGGAATACAATGTTTGAGACCACCTGGCCCTGTTCTAGTACAGGCCCTGTACTAAAGTGCATTAGGTGGGAAAAACAAAACAAAAACAAAAATCAATAAAACTAGTTCCTCGTTCTAAAAACAGCTTGGTCCCATCTCTATAGTTTTCACATGCATGCCTTTTTGGCCTTAAGTTTTTGGATATTTCATGACACTTGAAGCAATTTTGGTTAAACCTGAGCTTGTCATCAAAACTATGCAGGAGCTGAGGATTTTCGACTTGAATGTTTTGGTCGAAGCTCCTTGCACCGTGGCAGCTGCTGATTGGACGGTCCATGATTCTTCCAGTATAACATCCCATGCATTCTTTGAAACTTTGTTTGTGTCTCGTCTCTACCATCGACAATAAAATATGTCTTCTGTCTGCAACACGACCTCAGACTCCTGTGTCATTTTCTTCAGGTTTACATGCTGAGTTTATGGGGATCTGCGTTGGAACCAGGACTGAACCAGCACTGAACCAGGACTGAGCCAGGACTGAACCAGCACTTGGTAGAATATATGCTTAATGTTTTTTTTATTTTTATTGAAAAACATTCACTTGAAGTCACAGTGTTTACAGGGATTCCATAGGCTTTAATGCCAATAAACACTGTTTCTGTGGTGAACTTTTACTTTCGCAAAGCATTGACACTATAATTGTGTTTTGATAAGAATACACTTTGTTTGTCGCAACAGGAAGTCTTGTAAAAGTAATATCTTGTGAACAAATCAGATCATACTATGCTATTTCTTCATATTCGATTTTTTTGTTGTTGCATTTTTTTATTGTATTCAAAAAGCCAGAAAAGGGTATCACTATTTGATACTGAGAGTTTTTAGCTAATCTAAGATGTGAAAAAAATAGATACATATAAAAACATTTTTATTAGTCCATTTTGAAGTTGAATTATGTTGATCCTCCAAAAGTTGTCCCTTATTGTGGCAAGTTATTAGACAAAAGACCCCTGCAGTGAGAGGGGGATCGGGCCTGAGGCAGGGGGCTATCAACTATTGTTTCTGCCCTTCCCCCTCAATTAATATAAATGTATTTAATTATCTTGATTGTCATTTTTGCACTCTTTTATTTGTCCACTAATTTCAAACAATTCAGAGGTACTCATTTAAATAGTCTATTTTTCAAAGAACCATTTGAGTTTAAAAAATGGCTTCCATCTTGTAAACAACCACTTCTGAACACTGTAAAGCGTTTTGGGTGACCTTGGTCTGTAAAATGCGCCCTGTCAATAAACATGACTTACTTACTTATTTCTGCTGCCATCTGTACACAGTTATTATGCACTTTATTAATGATAAAATTACACTTTTAAACGGACATAACTTTTTATCATTTCAAATGGTCAATGTTTTTGTGTCAACAGATGTATTTTTTCTTTTTTTCTTAACCTATCATCCAAACATGTTCTTCTTTACATACTCATAAGAAAGATCCTTGTGAGTCACTATTTGACATTTGGGGCCGAAAGAGACCAAAACCGTGCACGGTGGTACCAGCAATGTACCAAGGACTATAATTTACATTAGAGCAGTTTTATAGATGTAGCTCCACTTTTAGCAGTTGTAAAATCAGGTAACCCAGCTTTAATGTGACAAGCCCCCTGCTGAGAATGGGACAAGGCGCCTCTGGGAGGAGAGAGTGTAGGGGGGAGGGGGGTCGGGGGGTATCCTGAATGGCCTGATATGGAAGGAGGCGACTGTATTGTAATCACTATTATGTGTCAAAGATCAGCAGTGTGCTATTGAGTCCTAAGTGCCAGTCCATATGTGTTAGCATATTGCACAAAGCTGTAGAAGGCCGTTAGCCCAAGGGGAGCACACACACGCAGACATGGGGACCGTCGCTAAATTAAATGACACGACACGGGGCTCTGGGAAAAGGCCAGGGGAGGACAGCCACAGTGAGTGGGGTCAGACCTGTAGAGAGACTAAACACAGTCAAAATCATGTCATATAATTGTTCTTTGAGGCTGTCTGAGTGAGGGTGGTCCTTTCTTTTTCACTTTTGTCTCCTTAAAAGCTGATCTAAAAATGTGACAGATGCTAAGAAGTAGTAATACTAGTAATTGAGAGAGATTGTTTAGCCAGCGTTATTGACACATTGTACTATATATTTTCTCATTACAACATTTAAGAGAATGTGTTTCCCGTAACAATGCACCCTGCCCCTGCTGCCCCCTGGTCTCCATGGTGACAGGGCCCTGCTGTTAGAATGCCTTCATCTCTGATGCCCTGTGTGGACATTACAAGTGGACGGCACTATTGTAAGTTAGTGCTCAAAGCTCAGGGAGGAAATTACTTTTACACTGCTTAAACAGACTACAGGGATTATCCCTCATTATCTGACCAATTGTTCTACAAGTTTGTCTTTTCTGACAATCTACGCAAACATAAAGAAAGCCAAAGGTTTGATTACTTTGTGCAAATGAGAAATACAATTGGTCAGTTCACAAGTTATGCACTATTTTGTCACATCTCAAACCCATTTTCAAAATGAAAAGATTGGATATGCAATTTCATGAATTTGTTATAACATCAACACCAGCTAAAACATTTGCTAGATAATACAGTAGCTCTACTTTTTAGAGTGATATGAAATATAATACAACTTTATTTACATGTATTGTTTGAGAACTTGAGATAAAGTCTGTGTAGAAGCAGCACTAACAATGGGACAGCAGGAATTACAACATGTTTTCATGTGCTGTATTGAATGCGATTTGACTGCACAGACATAACCACCTGAACTCACCACTGCTGAACGTTCAGTCTGAGCGCTGCTGCAGCTGTCAAAAGCCGTGCATACACTGTGAACTACAGTTGCAGAGGACACTGCTCTGGTAAGTGTCATGTTATACTAGCAGTTGTCTGATATTGTTGGAGTAGACATGTGACGAACAAGGAGCGCTCTATAGAAAAGCACAGAACATTTCTCAGAAAAGGGATCAAAACAGCGAGACCGCAAAGGCTGAACCACAACATAACCAGGGGCCACGCACGTGATTTTCAATAGATTAATTTCAGCAGATTTGAGCACTTTTTTGTAATATTTTTAGCTTTTGCTGCACTAAACTGCTCATTGTGTAATTAGGACACAGAAAGTTAGAAGACATGTCCCAAACAAGTACAAGGCTAAGGGTGGCGTGAGGTGAAACAGGGTCGGAAAAGTGAAAAGCAAAGAGTACAGCTGGCTTTAGGAGCGTCCCGCGCACACAAACAGACAAACTGCAAGTGAAAAGAAGAGATGCGTTTGTGCCTCCTCAGACAGATGCTGGCGCAGATGGTGAGAATTAACAGAAGACGAAGAAACAGAAATGAGAAAGACTCAAACTGGCCACGGAGGACACACTTTGCTCCTATAAACAAAATGCCTACTTAGATGTATACAGCCGCACTGCTGCACCCACCACTCCAGAACCCAGGAGAATAGAACAAAGATTATGCCTTATTTGTGTTACTTTAGCCTTAAAACGTGGCCTACAGTAATATCTGTTAAGGATTTCATGTGACAGAATGAGCGGTTTTCTTTACATGACAAATGTTGTACAAAATGAATGGATAATGCACCAAAATGCACCTAATCTGTTCAACAATCTGATTTACACTTACAGTAGAATAGACACAATCTAACATGATTGATGGTTGGCAAAGATTGTACATTTACTGGAGAATTCCCGAAGCTAATTGAAAGTAAAAAAACGCAGGATAATAATAATGGGCAGATGACCAATGTAAATAAATGTATATACTTGTCCATAATTGTTTTAACCATTTATTCACATAGAACGGGACATTTTGAGTACATCCAACAATATCAGGAATTTTGGGCACAAACAAAAAACAAAATCAGAAAGGATCATGGCGGATTCCAACCACCCCGCTCCCAGCAACTGCACTTATACAGTCGGAGACACACCTTTTAAGACCAAAACAGCAATGATGGTATGAACTCTGACACACACACAATATTGTCTTGTATTGAATGTATTTAATGCCTCTGCTGTAGCTGCATAACTTTGAAAATGCACTCTTAATTTAAATATTCGCTTCTAACTTGTACTGAGAGCACTGTACAATAATTCCAACGAGTATATCCGCTGTTTGGCAAGTAAATATCTTGAATCTGGACTCACAATTGGACTGAAGAAATGCTACAAACTCATTTGGAGAAGATACACATTTGTTTTAGAAAGGAATATGATAAGCTAGTATTATTGAAGAGGTAATAATGAAATCCAATTGTACATGAATTAGGGCTTTGTCCATGTCTCAGCTTTGCCCATGTAAACAGTGAATCTCAGGCCACTCTCCTCCCTCTCTCTGTGGGACAGGGGGCCAGGATGAAGGGGCTGAAGGGGATGGGCGGAGACCGGCTGGCTCTCGGAGATGGAGCTCGCGATAATAATCAGAGGCGTGAAATTACAACGCTGATATTTGTAGCACCCATGGGCTCTCAGCTCACCCCGTCCTACAGCACGAGCACGTGACCACTGTCCCAGGACGTCCAGGGAGAGAAAAACAACACGTCACATAACATCCATTTACCGACCAGTGCCCAAACAAGTAATGGAGATTTTACATCATCATAATCTTATTTACATTTACAACCCAATTCTATCACAAGTACGGAATTGTATGTGGGGGAGTGTTTGATATGTAAGCGGAACATGTTTTGATAAATATGTACATTATATACATATATATAATATGGCCTATTCTTAGTTAAAATTTAAATAAGTAGAAAAAAAGCATGTTAACGAACAGAGTTTATATCAATAGGTTTCCAAATAAAGTCTAAATCTTATGAGGCCTTATGGGGCTTTCTTTGTCTATTTCAAAGGAAAAGGCCCTGGCGGTTTCAATTTACCAATATATAAAGATGAAAATCTAGCAAAGCAGATTTCATATATATATTTGCATGTAAACACTTCATGAAAATTACTTTATAGATGGGATACCTAACTTTATATCCATGAATAATACATATCAGTTTGTCCTAACAGAAAGAGTCTTATGAAGGTAAAATTAACAAATACGACCACATAGATAAAAAAACATTTTACATTCTTGGAAGAAGAGACGTAAGTCACTACTTGAATAATACTATTTGAAATCTGATTGGCTCAGAGGCTGAAAAAGCTGATCGTCAGATGTGATGTGACAAAGTAGAACTAAGCTGTTTAGAGAGCAAGAATGAGTTACATTTAATTTATGATTATTTGTTGTGAATTGAGAGTTAGGTCCCCCAGCTTTAACCGTACACTTTCCCCTGCAGTTCCTTCGTACAGAGCCAATGCTGCGTGCTTCCGTTTGCAGATGAGTGTGGACTTCCTGACAGACAGAGAGAGTGCGTCCATTGCGCTCTGGTGAAAGTAGCTCATTTTCATGTCCATCATCTGCATCCCCCCGGTCCCCGCCCCGCGCTGGGACCAAAGGGAAAAGTCCGAGGCGTTGTCAGCTGATAATGGCCGAGGAGTGATCCCAATCACTCTGTTCGCAGCCCCTCACGTCACCCCCTCACATCCCCCTTCCACCCTGGCCGACCCTGACAGACGGCCCAGTGGCAGAGACAGCGCTCAGGGACCAGGACTGGACTGGGCAGTCTGTTGTCAAGTGAGGAGAGTTTTCATGTGGTGATGTGGAGTTGGTACATCAGACTCAGGAATAACTGCACTCCTAATGTAAAAAAAATCCTTCTAAAAGGTTAAAAGTGCCATGGTAAATATTCTTTTATATAGAAATGTTCCACAGTTGAGGGAAACGTAAACATAAATTACTATGTACAACATAGTAGTGCAGAATATGTTGGTGGAGGAGGGAAGGGTGGGAGGGCATTTTTTAGACATCCAGAGCAAAGACCAAAGAAAATAATGATTACAGTACATAAAAAGTGCATAAAAAAAACAAAAACAAGTACTGTCATGGAAATATGTAGCTGCTAATGTGTAGGTGTAATGTATGTTTGTATACATGTATGTGTGATTATGCATGTCTGAAAAAGAAAAGAAGCTAAGACTAAATACAAAAATAAATAAATAAATAAATTAAAATCAAAAGATTAGATGATTAGAATGTTTCCATACTTTATTTCATGCAAGTTTTTCGCAGTATTCTATTTTTTTGTAGTTTGTTGATGTAAATTAATTCCAATTGAATCCGCCAACTGCTAGAGCCTAAAATAAAGCATAGAAAACGTTAATTTGGGGCGACAGAAGCTCAGTTGATAGAGCATTGGCCTTTGAGCCTGAGGGTCGTGGGTTCGAGCCTGACTTTCACCATCCACTCCCACTGTCTGCTGTCGTTGTGTCCTTGGCAAGACACTTAACCTCTGGAAACACCAGCCACAGTGGGGCGGCTGCGTCTGTAAAGTGCCAAACTGTCGTTGTGTCTTTAGGCAAGACACTTCACCCCCATTGCCTAGAATGAGTCTGGTGTGTGTGTGTGAATGGCTGGTGGTGGTTGGAGGGGCCGATGGCACATACTGGTTGCCTCACTTCTGTCAGTGTGCCCCAGGGCATCTGTGGCTTCAGTAGTAGTTTATCACCACCGTGTATGGAGTGAATGAATAGTGACATGTAAAGCGTCTTTGAGTGTCCAAAAAAGCGCTTTATAAAACCAATGCATTATTATTATTATTATTATTAATTTACAATGAACAAGTTCTGCATTAGGATTTCCAAAAAGACGCAAGAAATTGAAATGTGTTCTCAATGGCTGGGCACTACCATAGGCACTCCCAGATGTGAGGAGAAACTCCAGGTAGAGCTGCTAATCCTCCAATTACAGAGGGACGAGTTGAGGTGGCTCGGGCATCTGTTTGGGATGCCTCCCAGAAGACCCAGGACACAATGGAGGGACTGTTTCTCAGTTGCCCTGGGAACACTCACTAGGATGAGCAGGAGGAGGTGTGCGAGAGGGAAGTCTGGGCGTCCCTGCTTAAAACTGCTGCTTCCGCGACCCAGAAACAGATTAAGCGGAAGAAAATGAATGAATCGATTTTGTGCCAATGTATGCTTTGAGTTTCTTGAGTATCTTTGCCACTCTTTAGACATTTTTGGTTTAAAGGTAAAGGTAAAGGTGCACTTTATTGATCCCCGTAGGATCAGGATGGGTCAAATGCAGAAGATGAATTGCATCTTCTGCATTTGACCCATCAGGAGCAGTGGTCGCCGTAGTAACAGCGCCTGGGAACCCATCTCCAGATGTTGATGCTCGGCTTGGTCAGGACCACCAGAGCTGGACGATTTAAACTAGTGCAAACTTCTAAACTAGTTTAGAAGTTCACCCATCTGACTAGTCACACACACACAGAGACAGACACACACACACCAACACGCACACACACACACACACACACACACACAGTCCTGAACTACACATTTGATAGATCTCTCTGGCAAAAACAAACCTGACCAGTGACTCCCGCTGCGATGACCTCATCCCTTCAGATGCTGCAGACCCTGAGCTCATTCTGTTGGCACCAGTTCACTTACAATTCTGCACACTCCCTTTGCATAACTGTACACACTACAAACAACTTAGGACTACTGTAGCAGAGTGGTTATCATTTGGGGAGGGGGTACTCTGGGGCCCCATGTGAAGAACAAGGGACAAGCCAGTCATCGGCACGGGAGAAAGTGAAGGTCATTAAAATGTCGTCGAAAGTTCGCTCACTGACCGCAAGTTCTCAAAGACAGGGGAGGGGGAGAAGGGAGTGGTGTTGATGGATATTAAGGGGGAGACAGAGTGAGATATTGGATTTGTCCCGTGAAAGAGTAATGTGTAGATAAAACAGGAGTGATTAAAAAACTAAAAGAATTCTACTGATCTGCTTGGCATCGTGAGAAATAATGGGAATGATTGGAGAGTTCATATGTAGCAAATCATCAATTCAAATGTACAGTCAATGGACGCCAAAAACAAGCTATACCCAAGGGTTTTGAAGTCAATTACTACTCACACTGAAAATGATTTATAGAGTATAAATATATATATAAATATAAATATATATATATATATATATATATATATATATATATATATATACATATGACAACTGCTGTTTTAACTTATGCCAAAAAAAATATTAACTGTAACTGGGATCCAAACTAACTCCTTTTACCCACACATAAACAAAAACATCCCAAGAAATCTGACTTTTTCCACAATCGGCTGCAAATCACTGAGGAAAACATATGTGCAGCACCCACCCAACATGGCGACCTAAATCATCGCATATGTAAAAAATAATGCAGCATCACGACGCGTCTGCAAAAGTGTCCCACAATATGTTTCTCCGTGGCGAATAACAAAATGCTGCTTGTTAGATGCACCACAGAGACTGCTGCCTGGTAAAGACACTATATCTTCAGACAAGCCTCATCCCAATGGACTCCCAGCGAGGAAATTGCCGTTTTTACATTCCGCCGTTGTTCTCCCAAAAGGAATACAGATAACAAATGAAATATTCAAGCCCTATTGTCTGATTTATTCTTGTTATTATGTGCAAATTTGGGAAAGGGAAAGGGGAAAGCTGGGCCCGTGGGAGCCTGACAGCCTATCAAACCAAACAGGTTAAGATGGGAGCAGCGGTCACACGCGCAAAAGCGCTATAAACACAAATCGAAAATTACTGGAGAAAAACGTCCCCGCGGTGTTCTGGCGAAGGAGAGGCTGGTTTGAATAAGAGGTGTTTGGGAAATGTGTGCGATTTTGTGGATGACATCTGGATAAACACATATTCTATGAGCAGGTTGTCAAGGATAAAATCAATGAATAAGAAATCAATAATAATCCAAGTCTTAAGTTTTGTGAATCTGTTTAAAGTGAATAAAAACAACCGTAAGAATGAAATATCTACCAACACCAAAATTGGATACATACATTGGACAGCGAGGGGAAAACATAATTTGCCTTTTTAGCTTTTGAAAATGATCTTGAGTACATTGACAGTGAAAAAAAAAATGCATGCATGATATAAATTGTTCCGAACCAGTTAGAAGATGATTTTAGATACAAGAGGGTCTCAGAAGGAAAAGAGTGTTTTAGTGGTTCTTTTGTTGTGATGATTAATCATATTTGTCCAAGTGTAATAGAGTTACCATTTCTAAGGCATGTCATTGGCACAGAAATGACCCAAGGCCCCATCTCCACTCCACACGCCAAAATTAGCTGGATTCCGTACACTATAAAAAAAAAGTGATAAAGCAGAAATACATGCAGAATATACTATATACGGTAGTCTGCATATTTTCTTTCCAACGTGACGTAAAACACATTCTAATCTCTCTTCCCACTATCAGGTTGGTGTCTCTCGGCCTTTAGGGTTTGGTAGATGGATGTGGAATGTCCCGGGTGCAGAGGAGTATGAGGAAGCTGGCTGATGTGAGCCCTGAACAGGGGGTGAGGTGGATGGCTTTCAGACATTGAAATGAGGAAGAACATATTGAATATTTCCTTTGTCAGCAGCCAATCATCCCAAAGAGGCACATATCAACTCACATGGCTCTTAGTATAAGTATGCAATATTTCTAATTATCAATGTGAACTAATTCAAAGTCAGATAAATATGATTAATGTCGCCAAGTTCTGCAATAACTTTTAAAGCACAGTATCAAATTGTAAGACCAGTGGATTCCTCAACTTTGATTCAAAAAAAGTGCAGTGCTGTATTTTAAGTCTCTCCATGGCTTCGCACCAAAGTACATCCATGACATGTTAGTGAACCAACTTAGACTCTGAGGAGCACAGGGACTGGCCTCCGGCTGGTGCCCAGAGTCAGGACTAAACATGGAGAGGATTTTGGATTAATGCAGCTAAAATCTGGAACATTTCCTGAAAATGTGGGACAGGCCTCGAATCTGATAATGTTCAAATCCATGTTAAAAACAGTTCTGTTTAGCTGTGGACACATGAAGGATTATATTGTCACTCTATTTGATTTACGGTGATTATTTATTACTTCAAGGCCTTTTGTGATTTGAAAGTTTCTTTTCTCATTTTAAGTTTTTCAAATACTTTGAGGGAACTGTGTATGAACTGTGCTATACAAATAAACTTGCCTGGCCTTAGGTAGTAGTGTAAGTAGTAGTTCAGAAGTATTTGGAGAATTTTAGAAATAATTGAAGTAATTGATTACGATGGACAATTGCACCAACAACTTAAAATCCCATCAACCAAAAGTCCCTGTGTTTGTTCAATATTTAAAACTCAACTTTAAAACCCAAATCTTTTATATCTACTCTTTTCAGATTTCAAACTAAAAGCACATTTTGTCCACATTATCCGAACAAAAGAGTCAATTAGCATGTGATTTCAGACACACATGTCCAATCGCAGCCGTTTGTTTGCCGTCGTCCCAAACGCCAGCGAGACAGATGCCATTTACGGCGGCGACACAGGCCCCGAAGAGAACTCCATCAGATATTAGTAATTGACCATTAATGAAGTGTCCATAATAGCCCACTGAGGAATTGACATGAGGGGCCCGCGGGACTATAGACCTTTTGGCATTAACATAGTCCCAGAGCTACAAGAGGCTTTTCAATGGCCAATCAATAAAGAGCATTAGTTGGTGATGGCCTCGCTGGGACCCCGAGGTGTCTGTGCTGTGTATTCAGGGGCCCCCGGACAAAGAG